CCCCTTGATTATTATCTGTGTGGTTTATTTGAACGAGAGACCAACAAAACTCCTTGTAACACTTAAGATGAACTGAAGGTATGGATTATGTAAGCATTCACCAACTTAGACAAGCATACCGTCCAGAAGAGTTGTAGTAGATTCCGAAATCATCTGGAGGTCGTGGTTGAAGCCAATGATGATGTTATTGAATAAATTTACTTCAAGATGCTTTTGTGTAAATTTGATAAATATATCCGTTAAAATGCGATGTCAGTGTTATTTTGATTTTTTTTTTTTTTTTTTTTGCATAAATTAGACGACAATTTATCCATCGCACATAATCTTTATGATTGTATTATTAACTATATTGGGTGTATTCAACTTAGGGCACTTCTAATAAAAATGCGCGAATTTGCATTTCATTAACATAAAATTATATATGTACATGTGCACTCCCCTTAATCCCCTTACCTATGACCTCAGTCTTCTGGTATTCCTCTGTAATCCTTGCTGGCAGGAAATTTCTTGAATCCCTCTCCCTCGCACCATGCCTCACTTAAATATAGCATTAAAATTAGGATTTACATTCTTAAATTTAAAAAAAATAATAATGAGCATTAAACGTACGTTTTCATCCAATTGAATCTCCATTCATACCCACTAAATAATTATAAAGCTTTGAATTGTTTCATAGTTACCTTTTTATATTAACTTTGATGAGAAAAACAAGCCCAACCAACATGTTTTCACGAGCTGCATATTAAAGGGCCAAGAGCCGTATATATCTCGCGAGTCACGCTTGCACCCCGCCCCACCGCTGTATATCATAACAAGAACCAACCTTTCTCTCGAGCCAAAGATACCAAATGACAGAAACTTTATCACTTCAGGACATTCAAAAGCAAGGACAACTAAAATGAACAGCACATGTAACCCGAAGAGAAAATAATGACACAATCGAGACTTTGATATTCACACTGCTTTAAACAAAAGGTTAGGAAGGAAACTCCAACAAATACTGAAAACAATGATAACAGTGCAGATAAAAAACGTATTTTCCTGAAAATTTGTTTTAATAGAAAGATTTTATAAATCAACCGATAGCAGATGTAGCTGCTTGGACTATCAATGCCTAATATTTCCTTACAAAGAAGTAGTTAATATTACTATTACCATTAGAGATAAGAACAGATATTACAATTTGATCCCAGCTTGATGACTAGGAGTTAATAAAATCGAAACTCAAGTAACACTAGCTGATCGGTCACCTAATTCCGAATGTTTTCTTATAAGGAAACGACTAAAGTTATCATTACAGATGAGGAGAACAAGATGATCCAACGTACCGATATATGGCATAAGACCGGTTTAATTTGTAGAGGTGGGGGCATGTACGAACACATGGGATCAGGTCAAATATAGCCCAGCCCCGGCCATCAACATTACGCTGACGTCAATATTCCACTGACCGTCCGTATTTGGCGTAATGAGTGACGTGTTGCCGCATAGTTGGAATCCCCGAAACGAGGCATTCCTTATTTATTTGTCGTGTTCTGCCCGAAGACAGGCACACATTTGGGAGATAAAATGTAGTTTAACAAACCGGAGGCAGATACTACACTTTGATCCCAGCCCGATGGCCAGGGAATGAGGAAAATTTTAACGGCATTTAGCCCCCCCACCCCACGAGGGCATCATGTGGCACAAGGCCGGTTTAACGTGGGATCTCCGAGCCCGTGTGCTCGGCCAAAAAATATGCCCTTTGAACCTGTATAAACGGGTTCAGGGTCGGTTTACCTCCCCGAAAGAGACTCCGCCCTTCGGCGTAGCCTCGTTCGGGTTCCTCCCCGCCCGAAGGCAAAGAGTTCAACCGATCGTAGTTCAACTAGAGTGGCATCGGCTGCTCAGTCAATATATACCAAATGCTTTCCTATAATGAACCGGCTAATATTACTATTAACATTACTATATTGCTCCCATTTCACTGTCAGGGTTCGGATCGAAGTTATGAATACGGCAGGAAGCTGAAGACGACCGGCGTGTGTAAAGGTTATGAATATAAGAACCAGATTTAAGAAATCATTTCGAATATGTCAGGGTAAAAGGCATGAAAAGATGATATCGAAAGAAGTAAAAATAGAGAAATCTAAAGGGTTAGGAAGCTCACGGGAAATTTAAAAAAAAAAAAAAAATCTTATACTAAACCAAAGGCAGCAAACATAATAATAACGAAGCAGATAGCAAGGAACGAACTCTCTTTTAAGAGGTTGAGAGGCCGGTAGTCTTATAAAGAAGGTTCCTGCTTTAGATATTTTGCAGAATTGCACAAAATTGGGCTCCAGGCAATAACCAGGGAAGAGAAGGAAATGCGAAAGCATAACAACACGAATAAAAAAAAACGTCGATAGGTTGATAGATTTCACTAAACCAAGATACCCTGACAGGTGTTTCTAAATGACAAATAAAACAAAACGGTTGTTCGCGGAAAATAAAAAAGCTACATATATATATATATATGTAAACACAAAATATCACTATATATAAGTATAAGAAGTATAAAGAAATAGAAGAAAATGGTAGAAAATCGTTCCGCCTATTAAAAATGACATCTAAGTTCCTCTTTTTTTGCCCACTTTCCTTAATTCAAGAAATACGAGCCATCTACACTGAATATCAAATACACACAAACTATATATATATATATATATATATATATATATAAAGAGAGAGAGTGTGTGTTTGTGTGAGTGGGTGTGTGTGTGTGAGTGGGTGTGCGCGCGTGTGTGTTCTGAATCTACGCAACCGACCACCAGGCGCGCAAAACTAAGGAAGCCGATTTTGCCCTGGCCCGGCGTCAAATCTCGAGGAGCCGGCGTACAGCCTACCAAGAATCAATGTTTGCGTTTGAATCAATTTTTCTTCGGAGAAGCCTTTCCCTTCCTTTTTATTTTCCTCCTTGCCAATAAAGGCCATCCTGCATGTAGGCAACCCCCAAAACTAAAGACAAAAAAAAAAAAAAAGCAACCAAAAAACAAAATGTCGATAAGCAATAAAAGAACGGAATTCACAACGAACAAAATGGCGGACTACTTTACTTCAATGTCTTTGTAACACAGATAAACACACGCACAGGCACGCACACGGGTATATATTCTTATATGTTTGTTTTTTGCAGTGTGTAACTGTGTGCGTTGAATATTCCTTTATTTTTTCTATGTTGATTCCCCAATTACATTGCTTCACTTTTTTGTTGTTTGAGAACTTTGCTTTTCCCTTTATCATAGGTAAAAATTTGTTACTGATAATAATAATAATAATAATAATAATAATAATAATAATAATAATAATTCCTCAAAAAAATATGGGAAACATTTTTTCTCAATGGAAGTTCCGTTCATTTATATTATTGGAGTCGAGTTGAACGAGAACCTGTCCGGTAAACTGATTGTACGTAAAATTAGGGCCGCCTGTCCATGTAGCCCCAATTTCCAACTCTACGAAGAGCACTTACATACCTACATAAAAGCAATATCCTGCTTTCCCAGAGAACTCCAACCCTACACCATGCGTATAGCATTTCGAGACCAAAAGTAAGAGAGGTATAATTTTCTTTTTTACCATTTAATTATTCTGCATACGAGACAAGAGAGTCTTTGAATTTTAAACAAACAAAAATAAAAAATAAAAAATGAGATTTTCTAAAGCTCATCTTTCGAATGGTAAACTTTACAATTATATCATAGAACTCTCAATATTTTCATCTAGCAAGCAATATTAATCATTTCGCCCTAGGTAAGGTCATAAAATCACTAAGGCTGAGAGTGAAAGAAAAATGGTAAAAAAGTTAGTGAGATGCAAGAACAATAAAAGAACAGCTTTATACGGCATCAATTCGCTATTCCATTTCGAATTTCTATTCGACTGTTAAATATTTTGCAGATATTTAAACTATTTACATTCTTCGGGTTTTGGGGCTAATTTTTACTGACACATTGCTTTTGACTTCATACAACATTGGCTGTTCTACCGAAGTAAACACATCAAAATGGAGTCAATGCTAGAAAATAAGCCGGAGGAGTTAGTCTATTGTAGATATCTAATGGCAACATGTAAAATATATAATGGTCTTAAATAATAACAAACGGTAGGGTCCTTTAAAAGGGGGTCTCCTTTTGAAGTTTCGATACAAACAAATTTCGAATATGCTAAAGACTTGATAATATGATATTTTGCGTGGATTACCACCATCTTCTCTGGCAAGACATCCGATGGGTGGTACCGCCCCGTACTATAAAAGAAAAGACATAGGCTCTCTGTGCCTTCTTTCTTTCTAGAATGTGGTAGGTACAAGGCTTATCCAGTGTTCTTTACTGGGAGACTTAATCACCTAGCTACGTGACGCATTTAACAAACACTCGAGTTGTATGTGAAATTTTATACACACACACACATATACACACACACTAAAGCTAATGCCATATTTTTTCTTTTTATTTAGCTATCTGCGTACATACAAGTATACTTTTTTCTCATTATTGTGAATCCTGTCATTCGTTATATCCTTCACTCAGTGAAGGTCAGTTGTTGAACAAAACCTTCGCCAAATTGAAGGAATGGGACTGTCGTAAATAAGAGATGGGCTGCGACACCTCTTTACGATACCGTATTCGTTTACGGCCCGTTCTCCGGATTACGACAGTCAGCCATATTCGAGAATACCAGGAGCACGTGTGATGTGAACCCTGATTGTATTTTGCCGAATAAAGCTTGGATAAACTTATCTTTCGTGTCTCAGTCTTCATTCTTGACAGGACTATTACCCCGACCGCGCTGGTCCAAGGCGTATTGATCGTAGCGGATGTGACGCGTTCGAGCGAGCATGTACCTTTTCGATTCATGATCCGCCAATGCTATTTGCATAATTGAATGTAACGATCCCGACGGGAATTCGAACTCGGCACTCATATTTCCCATTCCGAAGCATTGCCCATTACAGCACTCGCAAATCCAAGCTGACAAGCACCTGGTATTCCCAAGTGGTCACCCATCTAAGTAATGACCAGGCTCGACGCTGCTTAACTTCGGTGATCGGACGATAACCAGTGTTTCAGCGTGATACAACGATTCGTTATATAAAATACATTAAAACTATCTTCATTCTTTAGAAATGTTCCACTGATTTCTTTTGAATGTCATCCTGCGGTCGAGTAGTTAGAACGTTCGCATTCCAACCATGAGATCCGGGTTCGAATCACACCATGGTCGATTTGTCAGGAAGAAGACTTCCTGATGTTATCGGACTGGAGGGGATCGATCGCGGCACGTTTAGAAACTGACTGAAAATCATAGCACCGGTTGACCCAAACCTTGTGAGTGAAATTGGATGGACGGAACACTAGTCATCGTGGCCGGGGGCTTGGGAGTGCTGGCCTTGTTTAAAATGTTGTTCACGCTAGATAACGGGTTATTTCCTAGAAACTTTAACTAAGGTCGGTTCAGCATAGTTGCAGTATAAACAAAAGGTGGGCTCTGTGGATGTTGAATAAACACAAATGCGCCTGAGTAAGCGTCTGCAACGTGGATTGGCTAGACGCCCTAAGAGACGGGTATCCTCAAATACGAGTGGTCAGCTATACATCCCTTTATTAAGTGGTGACCAATAGTAACCTTGTCCACCACAAACCTTAATTCCAAAAAAGATTTCGACTAACATACACAATTTAAATATTCCGAAATGACATAATGTTTTATAACAGAATTCACAAATATGCGCGCCACCTTTAACATGACACAGATTAAGCGGGTAGTTCCTGTCAAACACGTTGTAGTATGTTATGCGTGACATTCTCCAGAGCCAAAGTGTCGTACAGACTTCCTGGCCCTTCGGACAAATGTTTCCCGAACATGACTGACGATATCTTTCGATACTGGTGGTAGTCCAGATACTTTTGCCCTGCACAGACAGTCTTCCTATTTAAAGTTTTTGTTCCATGCCTGATTCTGCTCTCCAGTTGGTGCATTTTTCTCGAAAATGCATGTTGCACACTCTTTTTGGGTTCAAGCATATTGTCTTTTCATTTCTAGTGGGCAGTATTCTTGACTCTGAAAAAAAATTAAACAACTTAATTTTTAAACATTTTCTCAAAATTTAAGCTAGAATCAGCTGACATTAGACTATAAAATAATGTCAATTTTGGGGGTACACACTGCATTATATTTTTTTAATCAATCTAATTTTATAATAATAATATTTTGATTTATGTATATTCATTTAAGAAGTAATTAAAATAATGTCCTGTAGACTCCAATGAAATCTAAAAAAAACAAGCATCAAACTATACTACTGTTTGATCCCTCGTTCCTTTTAGCACTCCCCGTCCAGGGTAAGACGACAAACTACATCCGCGTCCAGGGTAAGACGACAAACTACATCCGCTTCCTGGATAAGACGATAAACTACGTCCAACAGCAAGGCCTCTGATCAGGAGGTTTTGAGGAGAGTGGAACCACCTCTTAATTGCTGATGTTCTCAGGTCCACTCTGATCCGGTGTTGTAGCACCTGTTAGGGTCCCAGACATGGGCAAATAGTTAACCCCCAAACTGGGGTCAAAACACCATGAAAGTGTAAAAAATAGGTTTTAATACCAGAAATACTTTGTAAAAAAAAAAGTTATTACCAGCAATAAGTTTTTGAAGGAAAAATTATTACCCATTATACTTTTTTGAAAAAAAAAAAATTACAAGCGATACATTTTTGAAGAAAAATTATTACCAGAAACAGATTTTTGAAGAAAAAAATTACCAACAATACATTTGAAAAAAAAAATATTACCAGAAATAAAAATCTTGTGGGCATTAAATAACCCATTGAGGTTGATATGCCGTAAAACAAAACAAACCAAACCAAATCTTGTAGCACCCCAGTAAGTATCTGACTGATATAGTCTACTTATACAAGAGCTACTAGATCAGACCAAATAGTGCTACTATATTTGACACCAGGAGCCCAGTCTTCACTTGCCTGTCTTGATAGAGTTCAAAAGCCCCTACGCTTATTTTCTACCCGACGAAGTTTTTTCTCAGTACCGACAAAATATCTGAACCCTCTCGCTACTCATGTCAAGTTTTCCTTCCATGGATCCACCAATTCAGATCTTCACATCTAGGGCATCTTATGACACATATACGGGAAGGAATCTTCCTTATTCCTTTCGAATTCCAATAAGAAGTTCCACTCGGCAATTCCTTCCCAAATATTGCTTTGTGAAACAGACTTTCAGCAGGAGAATTTTTTTTATCCTGATCACTACAATCTTAAACACTTCAAGTCTGGTATTCATCGTTATCTTTTCTAGATAACCTCATGAATTGCAACTTGTTGAAACTTGGCTAATGCATGGAATAATAATGCAACGCAAAATGTACTTGAAACAAGAAAGTGTACACAATATTTACATATAGTCTTTTGTATATTCCTGGTAAGACCGTTCCTGGAGAATGTGTTGACTGAGTCGCAGTCTGGCAGAGTCTCTGGTTGAATCTCTTGATTCCTCCCTCTCTTCCCGGTACCAACCATATTTATATGGTCGGTACTCCACTATGCAAATTAGGTGGATCCTACCACAACACAACTAATGCCTTCTTTTGTGCTCAAACAACACCATAAGCTTACTCTCGACCTTGAGTGGCTCTTCGGTCTCATATGTGGGGAGGTGAAGATTAATAAAAATAAGTTAGCACGTACGTTATGCTCTGACATTACCTCAGATAAACAATGCGCAATTCTTGTTTGACCGCCAATATAGACAGAAGAAAAGATATCAAAGGCGATTTTTGATTTTAGGAAAAGGATGGGAAAAGAAAGAAAGAAAGAATTTACAGGAGGTGATAACCCTCTCATGTGTTTAATGTCTGCTTCAGTAAAATGGAAAACGTTGTAAATTTTGAATCGTTTCATTTGTACCCTCTTACAGTCACATGAAATCATATTTCTGGTTGTGATTGCTATATTTTATTACAGTTGTTAAGCTTAAATATTTATCGATGCAATAAGGGGATTTCCCCGTGTATTTTGCAGTCGTAGAACTCTTAAGGAGTTTATTCAATTATTACCTTAAGAAATATCATTCATTAGAAAATTGGAATTTCCACGGCAATGTCTATTTATTAAGATGAAGTATTGTAACTATTTACATCGATCGATCTGTTTTCTTCGGTTTTATTGTCATATTCACGACGTGTCGACCGTTGTGCGCTCCAGCCTTCTTCAGGTGACATACTTTGGAATTTTGAACCGAAATTTTTATTTCGTCCACCGGAATAGATTGTTCTAGTTCCACGTGCCATACCTTTTCTTGATATCTCAATTTTGGTTATCACCCTTTAGTAACTCAGCTCTCCAAGGTTTTGTCCACCACTGCTGTGGCCAGGTATTGAACTCACAACTCTTTGAGTCAAGTCACTGGATTACTTCAACCAACGTTTTTATCCACTTGGGGTTCGATTCGAAATAAAAACGTATATCGCCTGAAGAAGACCGAGGGGGTGGTACAACGGTCGAAACGCCGTGAATATTTCAATAAAGATGAGCACAATAGTCAGAACAATGTATATAGTGTAAATATAGAAATATGATAATCTGTAATAAATATAATACTAATGAACAAAACACATTTATTGACAATAAATTTTGATATAAATGATGTCTAAATTGGTGTTCATCGTCGGACCATTTTTTTTCTGATTTTTCAAAATATTTTTAAATATTTGATCCACATATCTATTGCCTAATTTCAGTAAATATAGGTTCTTCCATCAGGAATACCTACTGTTTCACTGTACGAGGAAATGATTTCGATTGCTCTATAATTTAATTCGGTGAAAGAAAAGGTCAAAGTTTACGTAAACAGACAAACATCAGATTTTCATTGACAAGTCCGAAAAGCTTTCACTGACAATTATCATTCCTGGTCGTCATCTGTCTTCGAACAAGCAGGAAGCGCAGAGATTTTGTTGCTGATCTACGTGAACTTTGCCGAAAAGATTAAGCCATCTAACCACGGACAAAATAGACCCTTTGAACCCTACGCCGTCCAGCCTTATTTAAACAAGTTTCTATTATGATTTATGGAAACTAGAAAGACCCGGGAAAATTTCACGGTTTTCCTATTTAAATTTATTTGATGAATTTTATTCTTAATTCTTAAACTCTCAAGTTAATGATTGAGTAATCTCATAGCGAGTTCTACGACAATAAAATACCCGTAGAAATCACCCTATCGCATTGTTAAATATTTGAGCTTAACAACTTTAACAAAATATTACAATCACAATCATAAATATGAATGCTGGTTGTTATTTTAAGAAGTGGGTACAAATGAAAAGATTTGAAATTGACTACTCTTTCCACTTCACTGAAACAGCCATTAAACACTTTTATCTTCCCTTCTTGCTTTCATTTTCTCACTTTATCCAAGTATCGTCTCTGATATATATTTTGTTTTTCCACACGATCAAAACGAAATAGTCTAGTATTTATGAGGTATTGTAAGGAAATATTAAACACTTCTGTCTTCATTTTTTTCTTTCTTCCATTTTCTCCCTGAAACTAAGTATTTTTTTCTCCTCTTTCCACTCGATCAAAACGGAATAGTACCTTATGAGGCATTGGCAGGGCATAACGGTCTTGCGAACTAATGAAGGAAGGGAGAAGCAATATTATAATAGGATGTTGAAAATAATTTTTTGAAAAATGGAAACCATTTCAAAATACACAAATTAATTATTAAAGGTCTTTGCTACTTTATTTTTTTTTTTTTTTACTTTTAGATTAATTAAATCTAAATTAAATCTTTTTTTCCTTTGACTATTCCAAGAATATTTCAGTCTTTTATCTCTCACTTTCTGCAACAAAAATCTCCGGATTGCGTCTAAAGATGCTTAAAATTGTTCCGTATTTTCGTACATGCGGAATTCATGTTCCCCGTATATGCAGAGATTTTGTTTACTGTTAATGTGCCGAATTATCCTAATATACATCCTGTTATGTTTTACTTATCTCTCTGTGCGGTAGTAGTCGTAGTACAGTTCTCTGTGTCCTGAATAGCAACCG